TGTAATTAATGCTGCTGCTCATGATGATGATGATGTCAATGTCATTGAAAAACTTTCATGATTTATAATGATTGTTTTTGTCTCCGTCTCTCTCTCTCCATATATATATACCCCCCTCTCTCTCTGTTGTTTATTTATAGGTATGGTATCTCTCGTATTAATCAGTATTACGCAATGAAAAATCATCTCATTACAATTAATTCATAAATAAATTGTTATGTAATATTTGAATAAAATAAAATTTGTCACCATGTCTATACATAAACATTATCCTTATTACTACCACTACCACTACTACAACTACACCTACCACCACCACCACCACCGTAAATGTGTGTAATTCACTTGGTGATAAACATCATCTACTATATTCAATCCATTTGTGTATTCAATAATATAAAAGTATATATGTCAATATCAATTGGACACTATGGATGGAGTTTATTCTTTCTAACAACAAAAAAAAGGAATCTAAATGAGATTTCAATTTCCAATCGTCAAGTCTAATTTCTAATCTGTTCATTCATCAATCGATCAATCGATTCCGTTCTCTTTTATTTATTTGTTTTCTTTTTTTTATTGATCTCCTTTTTATTTTTTTTCTTCTCTTTTCTTCATAATGTATGAATTATAATGATGCTTTTAAAGAAGGAGCAATTCGTTTATGAATGATCAAAACAACAACAACCAAAAAAAAAAACGAATAGTGATAGTTTCTAACTAAGTAAGTTAGTGTTGAATACTGCTTGTTATATTAGGTCGTCGCTGATTGTTATGTCGGGAACGCTTATTACTTATATACTCGAAACAAGGAACTTCCGCTATTTCCACGACGCGAAAGTAAGAATACCAAGACTGGTATAAGTGAATATTTATTAGCTCCAAAACACGACGACGACGACGACTTTAGTCGAAAAACACACTCATTTATACATTGATAATTTCCAACTATGTTAATTAGTTAGTCAGTAATAAATCAACGTAGAACGTTAGCTCAATTCGTGATAGTAAGTTGGATGGCAAACGAGTGGAAATAATCATATGGTCAGTGGTAATGTGAAAATCTGAACACTGACAATACAAAAACAAAGTGTAAAAGGAGATACTGGAATTCGAAGTTGGGAGGAAGATATTAATTAAAATGCATTTATGCCATTTCAGCTTATTGTGAATAGTGTTATCGTTTGTCTGTAATCACCGATCACGATGATCGCACAGACTCCAACCACGTAGTATGTATCTACAAATGTTTGAAGGTATTTTGACAACTGATATCTATTTTGATACATCTTATTAACTAGTTCAACGTTCTACAGATCCACTGAACTTAGACCACGAAGCTTACGATTCTGCATATCACTGAAGGTTAAATTTTGATTGATGGATGTTGTCATTTGTCAGTTTGTTCATATGTAGCTTTTAAATCATAAATGGTTGGTTGTTATTGAAAAATTGATCGACTATATTCAACACTTGGTGATTACTTGAGAATTGTTCAGGTAAAATCGCAATATCCCTGCTCGATTATAGATTCTGTGCTAAATGATATCAACCAGCTAGAAGCATCTGAAATTGTAAGGCAATTGACAATGGCTTATAATATGAGATTCGAGTATCCAGCGACAGTTGAAGGCTTCACTCCATATGAGTGGCATTTCAAGGGATCTTAATCAATCACGCTAAGCTCCAAAAAGCCACAATGGGTTATTCGAATATCATAATAGACATATATGTAGGCAGAGTCGTTGGGTAAACTGTCCCACTTGTTATGGTTAAACGATTCATGACACTATTTTCAAATATTCGGCCTAATGATAGTTCCTACTTATTAGTAGTGAGTTGATCACATATTCAAACGAATAGTGATAAGCGAGGAAAAACGGCTGCTACATTCTTCCTGTACATACAACTGGATTTGATATAATCAGCGCATCATATGTTCTTACTTTTTCCTTAACTTTCGCCTGGACTTGAACACTCTACTATATTCTGTTTACGCGTTTTTATCACGCATAACTTATACATTATATCAACAGTCAAGACAAATGTATGTGATTATAACATGATGTTTTCTATTTCGGTTAAGGTAATATCCCTAACCATTAAAACTGAGCAACACCATATACACTTTTCAATCATGTCATTGCTTTTTCAATAAAACAACCCAATCTTATATTCATGAATATTTAAGATATTTTATTAATTCTCCTATCCAAATAAACTTTGAACACATAAATATTGGTACAAAGGGGCACCAAATACATATGCACCACACAAGTCACTTGATTTGTGTGTGGGCTGTGGTACTGCCTGCGTTCCCAAACCGAAGCAGGTGGTTTTCTTGGGGGGGGTGGCACACTCGGAACCTTCGACCTGAAGGTCTGATCCACAAGGCAGTGGACCAACGTAAGACTTCGCCGTATAGCCATCAAATAGGCTCAGTTGACAGTTTAATTTAGAAAAGACATTCAGTGTTCAGAAACCAAGATATACTTACAAATGTTTAGACATGAAATTACAATCCTCTCTACTTGAACATATTAATTTTAATATGACAAACTCAATGCACCATAACAAACGAATACAAAGAAGTCCCACTCCATTCATAGCTTTAAAAAACTAATCCCGACCGTCGCTGCCACCTTGACGTGGTGGTCAGGCTTGCCTATCGTGATGAACCAATTAGACTGTACAGGCTGGAACAGTCGTCCCTCAAGGTCCTACCATCCCAGACAGGTCGATTGAAGAACGGTAAAACTGAAAGCAGCGAACCGAAGGCAAAGTCGTACTGCTGACTGTACAGAGGTGTGACGGCAGTAAGATGTTTCCTTCAGACAACCAGCATAATAGCGCTGCTGTATTCCCACAAGGAGGTATGGGATTAGGAAAGGTCGGCCCTAAAAATGCACACCTCTTCTTATCCCACGGATATTCATTTCTGGCGGTAAAGTCCCAGTAAGTAAGGAGCTAACACGAAAATTACTCACAAAAAGGTCATGTGTGACCGACCTCAAGTAGCTGTTCCTTGGGTATTGCGGCCACGCCCGCAGGTCAATAAGACCACCCCTAACGACACTCCCTTTTCAGGTACCGCCATAAGGACCCTTCCACGGTGTGGGCAACCACGAAGTGATAACTGTGCCCATACCTCTAATAGCACCCAAGATTATTGACTAGCTGTAAAAATTAATAAACACAGAAGGTTTTGCTGCCAAAGATTAGTACTGTTCTATTCGAATCTTGATAGATAGCTACCATCAAAGTTACGTAGTTATTTCTAGTTATGGTGAAATGAATGTCAGTAATTTCATAATTAACGATTACAAAGTCAACTAGACTGTATCCTTTAATAATATTCAATGTTTCTAAACTTTTCAATCGTGACCGCTTCATTCTCATGGTATATTTGATTTAATAATTGTTGTGATCGTTTATTCTCGTGTTATTATTAATCGGTATATTGTTAGATATGTGTAAATCTTGGACTAGACTGTATGTTGTGGAATTTATCTTTTTATTCCGATTACCGAGATTATAAGAATATTGAAGGGTTTGGAGTGGATAGCACTAATTTTTAAGTTGTATCAGTTACAAATTGACCTCAGTTGTGATACTAATAAGAACTAGGAAGCGCTAGACAGTTGTTTTGTCCTGGTACGAGGCTCTCGCGAAATACATGCTCATAACGTCGTCGCGGGTCGGACGTAAGATGGATACTTAACCATCAAGACCACTCAGACATTATCCAATAGTAGCACGATTTTAGCTTTAATCAATTCATGCTATATCACGAAGACCTTCGAACGCCATTAGTAATCCCACTAGACATGGACCTAATCCAAAGATTATGACTTTTCATTATAACTTTAGGAATTAGGTAGATTGTTCAATTGATGATGAATAATGACTCGAAAAAATGTAGCATATAGAAGTCAGTCAGCTACAACGTAAGACCAGGCACCTATATGCATCCATCCAAGTTGCTATACCGCATTAGCACAACAAGATGAACACCGCATTCATAGACGTAGTTACTTCAATGGGGGTAATACATAGAAAAAAGATTGTGTATAAGGAGATAGTACAGGAAGAAAGAATTAGTTCGTAGAAAGAAAGATTTGAAGTGATTTTAATCTCTTAGTTTAAAGGAAGACAGAGTGTATACACCGACGCCTTTGTGATCAATTCTGATCCATGTCACACAGTCTCCAACCATTGGTTACGATAATCACGCGGACCCCAACCAGGTAGTCTGCATCTACCAACATGCCTCAGACCAGAAGTTGGTGACTTTAAGCACTGATTCCACGTTTTGGTTTGGCCGCCCCCAACTTTCTTCCAATTATCCCTAACACCGGTTAGCATTGCGCGTCGTGGTAATCATTTATTATTTATTTTAACACATAGGTATTGGTACAAGGAGGCACCAAGTACATATGCGCCACACGAATCTCAATTGATTTGTGTGAGGGCTAGGATACTGCTAGGGTGCCCAGACCGAAGCAGGTGGTTTTCTTAGGGGGCCACACCCCGAGCCTTTGACCTGAACGTCTGATCCACAAGGCAGTGGAGCATCGTAAGGAGATGCAGTCCCATGGTAGCCGGTGACCAACGATTTGTTCATACGCCATTTGTTCCTTCAGGATAGTGGAGCCCATGTACACCATTAATTTGGGATCCGGTTAAAGTGCCAGACATTCCCTTTTCGTCCTCTGATTTTCGTAAACAACACCCCCGCCACGTGAAGGCAGTGAGTAGGACTTCCCTGGTAGAGGCTATATACGCGTGGCCATGTGAGAGCATTTCGAGAGGGAGAGCGGACTCTTCCTACTCTCGGCCGTACCAGGGCATTTGGGGGCGTCGTGGTAATCAGTGTTCAGGCATACACAACACGTGACCTAACCATCTCAGTCGATGAAGCTTCGTAACCTCATCAACTAATTTACTATCATTATTCCCTAATAGCCTGTGTGTTGAAAGGAAAATTAAAAACTCTCTAGTTAATAGAAAATATGTTGATTGTGTATTTATATAAATTATATCTTATTGCCTTGTTACACTATAACATCAAAATAAAAAGGTTATAATATAAATGAAACAATTAAGCATTCATGTAATACATGTGTAATAAATAGACTAGTCAACAGATAAGTACAGACAGATATCACGCGCTGTAAAGAAAGAGAGAAAAACTGACCTAATATAAATATGTATAGTACTTGTAATTATGTACAAAACTGAAGTTCGACATATACATGCACGCTCATACACACACACACACACATACATACACATGAATATATGTACAGATAGTGTTGTTTCATTGCTTTATTATCTAATCATCTGTACGTTTCCGTTTTTTATGTTTATGTTTTCGTTCATTATCCTCATCATCAACAACAACATAATCAGTTGAATAATGAATATTATTGACAATAGAATCATTTTGTAAAACAGCTTCTAATTCTTTATAATCTTCAGTGGATAATTGATATTTACTATTATTAGTAGTATTAGTATTCAGCTTGATATTATTATTATTATTAGCACTGCTTTGAACTGGTTTCACCATAAATGATACACATGGTGAAACGGCAACTAAGTTCTTTTTAGGCTTAATATTAAAATTATGTTGATTTCTATCATATACAACATTGTTATAAACAGTGATATTGGCATCGTTGTTATGATTGTTGTCATCATGATCATCATTCTCATCATCAATGTCAACACGATTAGATAGATTGATATGATCAAGTGTATTATTGTATCTATTTACAGAACTTAATCTCTCTTGTAATACCGGTCCAATTTTAATATCTTTTCCTTTATTAATACGGTCTAAAACATGATCAATAGCTTTATCAATCATTGAAGCAAATCTTGGATTTTCAATTTGACTATGACCTAAAATATTGGATAGAAACAAAAAAAGCAGTAACAATAATTGACTGTATTCAAATACCGACATCAATCGGTTGGATATGTACTATGAACGTTATTTCAGCGACTTACATTTTGCTTCATTTGGCAACACTGATACTGGTTGGGGAAATCAGAGAAGTGATCGCCAGTTTATGGCATGGTGCCGAAGTATAAAAAAAGCTGCATAGAACTGTTATCTGTCAGTCAATCGAAACTCTAAGTTTAGAATCCAAGGGATGGTGTAATTCTCGTTGGTTCGAGACGTTATTTACGCCTGTTACCCCTTGTAGAACATAGGCTACCAACTAGGATTTTCCAACCAACTTTGTCATGGACTCCCCTTTTCAGGTTCATTATTTTGATGTTTGTCTTCAATCCTGGTACAGTGTGCTCTTTGGTCATTTTCTCATTTTACGGCCAATATTTACTTTGGTGTCTATTTGTACTAATATTTATGTGTTTAAATATAATTATGACGGTAGATTTAGTCAATTAACAGATAATCTACATTACAGACTGATTTTAGTCAGTAAATAAATTCGATAAGAATTTCCAATAAAAGTGAAACTAAGTCAAAAGAGTGAGATAGTTATCATCAATGATGATTAGTGGATGACTGCCGTGAAATTTCAAGACCTGTAGCCGACCGCAGCTGTTACTTTGACATAGTGGTTAGGCTTGCGATTCACAATGATCTAGTCGATTATTATTGGTTGAAATACTTGTTCCTCTAGGTCCAATAGTGCTAGGCAGATCGGTTAGAGAGTGTTCAGAATAAAAGCAGAATGTAATGAATGAAATTGTACTGATCACTTAAAGGAGTGTGCTTATTGCGACACTTCAAAACATTGCTGGTATATCCTGGGACCAACGAGTAAGTAATGCAGTCGTTAGGAAATGGGTACGGGGTAAGGATGGCAAATCAATTAATGAAGCAGTGAAGCTTCATCATTTGAGATGGCTGACACATGTGTTACGTATGCGCAACCATCGACGAGCAATGTTTTATGGTGTAGGAGTAGGTTGGAAGAAAGTTAGGGATGGTCAGATCAAAATATGACACAAATCCATGAAGTCACTGACAAGTGAACTGAGCCATGTCGGTAGGTGTAGACTACCTGGTTGAGATCCACAAGACGATAACAGCTGATGGTTAGATACCTTGAATGTGGCATGGCTCAAAATCGTTTTCAATGGCGCAGATGTATCCACTCTTTATGTTCTCCCAAATTCCAATCTTCTGAATTCTTCATGTCCTTTTCTTTTTTCTCTTTACAAATTTATTCCACTGTATTATACTCCTTGAATAACATCTTCAAACCCTAATCTTTCCGATTACTGCTTATACTCTTACTACCTCTACCACTACAGGATTTGAATCGACAACTGCATCTCTGTGTTAATGTGGTATGGCAAATCGAATTGATTTACGTACGTACGAAGTTTTTTTGTTGTTACTGACTAACTGACTGAGAGACTTACAAATCCTACATTTGATCTGTTTGTGACCAAGTTATAGTTGAGCATCGTACTGAAGAGTTTTATGCTAAGATAAAATAGTTCCTTAGAACTCTTGAATTTTTAACAATTTGGTTAGTTAAACAAGTTATAAGTTGATATGCAAGTAATTAATAACCATTCAAAGTTGTTTTAAAGAAAATTGGAGATAGTGGGGCTAGTAGTGGAATGGAGGATGTACTCTTAAGTGGGATCTAACATTATTATTATAGTACAATCTACATAGATACTAGTTCAAAAGTTTCTATTCCATTATGTTCAATGTTGTTTTCAAATTAGACTAAATTATCAGATGAACCATGAATCATAATGAACAATTTTAAATGTGTCTTCTAGAATTTACTAAGTAGTGACCAATGTCATGTGATAACTCTTGCAATTCAATTGTAATGTAAAATGATAGTTGGAAGTAGTTCAGAGGAAATTCTTCATTTATGAAAACGATCAAACACTTACCTTGTGTCGATGATTCATTTTGTTTCTTTTTAGTGCTACTTTCATTTAAATATTGACTTTCTAAACTATGACCATATAATGATAATGATTTAATTGGAGTTGATTTAAGTTTATTTTCATTCGATGAAACGATAGAGTTTGTTTGATTTATAATCATAGATTTTGGAGTGGATGCATTTTTTATTGTAGATCCAGGTTTTATTATAGATGATGGTGTTGATTTAAGAGTGGATGTAGGTGAAAGTTGTGAAGTTGATATAGGTTTTGATATAGTTGTATTTAATGAAGGAATTGCTGCAGATGTTTGTGATTTTCTTGGAGGTCGAGGCGCTGATTTCTGTGACAATGATTCTACTAATTTAGACAATTGTATTCCAAAATTTTCTATTTTGTCATCAAGACGTTTAAAAGTATCCTGTAGATAAGGTTCAATGCCTATATTGTTGAAGAAATAAGATTTAAAAAAGTATGATTATATTCGACAGTTTATTCTACTCAGTACCTACCTTATCTACGTTGTAAGTTCTAGTCTTAGATTTCACAAAAAATAACTCCTCCCTAAAAGATGTACATTTAATACAACTGTTGCGAAATGGCATATGTTGTATTAAATTTCTCGTCTTCAGTATTCTCGATACGACTTTAATGATAGATGTCCTAGGATCTTTCAACTGATGGAAATAAACTCATCATTAAGCTTATACACTAGTTGTTGAGGAGACGATACTGAAAAGGACAATGATCAAGAAGATATTTCTTAACTTTAATCACTATCTCCTCCCTCCCAATATATAACAAACAAGAGAAACTAGATATGACACCGACAAACTAATTACCTAAATGGCTGGAGGTAGTCACCAATAAACCTGAATAGTTCAAGTGGAAACACATCAGATTGAGGCTGAATTGTGTGCACTACTTATATACACATAAGTAGTATACAACGATAGTCAGGAATAAAGTTACTTCAGTGGAAGATCGAGAAGGAAAGAACGCGAACGGAAAGCAATTGGTATGGAAAATACAGGAACGATGAAATCCGAGACGATGGACTGATATTTGCAAAAGAAACGGTCAAGTTTGAGGCAATTTATTGCAAATTAGGTATTTACTGTATGATTCTCAAATTTTACTAAGAGATTCTGTAATTTTATGTTCAGATACATTCGATTGTACCCACTCGTGTTCTTGTTAACTACAGAGTGACCTAGGTTTGAATATCACATGAAACACTAGTTCCAAAAACCTTCCCAGTACGATTTGATGACGAGTGTTACAAAGCACGAAACCAACTAACATTAAAACATAGTGTCTTCAAGGGTTGAGTGAGTTACTAAGACTAGTGGCTATATTAAGACTTCATTGATAGAATTCAATTAGTACTAAAAAGGATTAGATAAACATCACTCTGATCATCACTAAATAATTAATCACTATGAACTAATTACCTCTTCAAAAGTGAAACGGTGACTTACTGTTATTTGAGGTATCCTGATTCTGTTTCGTTGTAGGTCTACAAATTTAAACATTAAGAATAATCGACTAACGTAATTAGATGTAAATCAATGGTAAATCAATGAAATTAAAACTAGGGGAAAATGCGAAAACAAAACTAATCACAAGTGTGTGGATTCAGTAACTCAGTCGATAACCAGTTTGACTTTAATACAGAAAGCTGTTAGATTCGAGACTGGGTATGAACATCATTACTGGAATGAATGTACATCCAATTGACCAGTCACAAACAGAATGAATAACACATCCTAGATTTCCACTGCTAACCACAATCTATCCTCTTCGTAGAGAATGGTCAATTCTAACAAGAATTACTAAGAAATACTGTAATCAAGTATAACAATAAAAAATATAGAGATGAGAAATTTAACTGTACACTAGATAGAAGACAATTACAAACAGATTCAGTTTATTTATTTATTTAAACACATAAACATTGGTACAAGGACGCACCAAGTAGATATGTGCCACATAAATCATTAAATTTGTGTGAGGATTAGGATACTGCCTGGGCGCCCAAACCGATGCACGCGGTTTTCTTAGGGGGCCACACCGGGAGCCTTCAACCTAAAAGCTTGATCCAAAAGGCAGTGGACTAACGTAAGGAGATGTAGTCCCATGATAACCGGTGACCAACAATAGGTTCATACGCCATTTGTTCCATCAGGATACTTGAACCCGTGTGCACCATTGGTTTGAAATCAGGATTTTTCAATTCCCCTAGGTGGACTTGCTGTGTTCACCAACCCAGTTAAAGCGTCGGACATTCTCTTTTCTTTCTCCCAATTTCGTAAACAACACCGGTGGTGTGAGAAGGCAGTGAGTATGACTTCCCTGGCAGTGGTTGTATGCAAGTGGCCATGTGAGAGTATTTATCGGATTATGAAAGTTTAGCAGTTAACTGGTATTCGATTCCCTGGTAAAATCTAGCAGCTTAAAATATTTAGTTTATAATTAATTATAGATGTATTCTCATTTTGTTATTATGCCGAAATCAAACAAGTGGTTGGACTACCATTATTACAAAACTATCTATGATAACTTCAGAGCGTAAGCAACACAATCTCAGGTTATGCTGTTGAATTAGTAAGTCAGATTAAATTTGATCCTCCTGCTTGACGAAATGTAATGACCAACAGAAATCGGTTCTTGTATAAAACCATCTGTTTTGGCTGGTGTACGGGCAGTAACAGAGTTAAAATATTTTGTAAGGACTGTTTACAACCGGCAGTAAAATTATGTAATTTAGAGGTTTGACTGTAGAAAATGAGGATCAGTCCTAGACATTGATGTCTTAATTATTACAACCAGGTGTAAAGAAGTAATATTCTTAGTATAATAGAGGTTGATAAGATCATAAAACAACTCACTCATTAGTCCTGCGAACGGTGAAACGAACAAATGGGAGTCTGTATACTTCATTACTCCCTGACGAGTTTGGAAGTCGTGCGAATAATATTCTGGAATTCTCTTCTTGAGTGGTCCCAATAAGTAGGTATTCTGACTCTTCTTCAGTATCATCATTTGATAATTTAGGCAATGCCTTTTGAACACAAGTCTCTCCTTTTTCCAGCCTTTTTAAGATTCGCTTGAAAAACTTAGAGAAAGATTTATTTTCCAAGTTTAAGAGAGGTATAGCATCATGACAATCTGGAGGAATATCTACACAGGCAAGTAGTGCTTCCATTGATTGAATCCGTTAAGACTAAATACGAAGCCAATAGGATGTTATTATCATGTAGAATCTTATTTGAGTGGGGATTTTAATATGAAACAAATGAAAAGCTGGGAAGTTACACAGATAATGCAATATATACGAAGTTATTGAGAGATGAAAAAGTAATAAGAATTACAAATAAGTTATTTACTCACCTGATATGAACTTACATACACTAGTATCATACATAAAACTGTATTAATTGGGTTATCGTCAATAGATCTGATTGGTATTTGAACGATTTAATCAACTTATATTGTAAAATAACACATTAAAGTCTAATGATTACTGATCAGAAGATTGTGTCGATAAATTTGTTACATATGCACAGTCCCAACATAAGTGTCAATTTCGATCAGACAACTTAGTGCCTATTAGTAATGTCTCTCAATCAATTTTATGAAATGTTATAAAAGGTATAGAGCAGAGTAAATAAGACGAGGTACAAAAATGTGTTATGGTGGTGAGAACACCCACAGTATCTGGAAACTGCTAGAAGCTATTTCAGCTTATCTAAGTTATTGGCAGCAAAAGGTTTAATGTGAATGAGACAATCAGTAAAGCTAACTAAATGCTAGTTAGTGACGTCCGGAGACTTATATGGATATAAGTAGTGTATGAGGCGAGTTTAAAACGTAATGTCTGGCAGCAGAAGATGGGGAAAGATCAGGAAAGGAAGATCGGGAACACAATGCAACAACCCCCAGATTCCTAGGGTAGAAAGAACACACGTTATAACGTCTAAGATATCTATATCGTCGTCATGTTGGACAGTTTATCTTCCAATGTCCTGTCCCTCTACAAGCGTAACATTTATCGTTCCTTTTATGATTTACTTGTATAACTGCAATCTCACGCACCAGCTGCTCAATCTTCTTCTCGACACTACTTATCTCCTGCTTTTCGTACCCGACCGGAGCTACTGTTCGTGTCATCAGCTGACGAGTCACCCTCGCCAGTTCACTGATATCCATAGGTTGCGCTGCGTTTACTAGTTTCAGCTGCTAGGAAACGGTGGCAGGCACACTCTCGATAAACTACGACGCCAACAACTGTGCCTCCGACTCCTCACCCAGATTCGGCAGCGCACGGCGTAACAATCTGGTAAGCTCCACAGCCAGCACTAGTGGGCCACCATTGGTCAACAACCTCGCCAACCGGAACTTCTGCAGTGCGTCCTCCCTGACCACTGGGCTGTCGAACTCCGTCGCCAGCCGCTCCGTGACCGTCTCCCATGTCGTCTTCCATCCAGCACCGTCCAAGCTGTCGTATACAGCCTTCTCCCTACCTCTCAGTAGCGTCCCCAGCACCACCAGCTCCGACATGGCCTCAAACTCCTTCACGAAGCTCAACACATCTCCGTCCTCAAATTCCTTTGGCCACGGAATCTTCTTCATTAGTGGAGACAACGACATCAAATGGGTGGGTGGGTGTGAAGGAGCCGAAGGCGAAGCTGGTGGTGCTGGGGACGCTGCTGAGAATTAAGTCAAAGGCCGCATACGACAGTTTGGACGGTGCTGGAGGGAAGACGACATGGGAGACGGTCACGGAGCGGCTGGTGACAGAGTTCGACAGCCCAGTGGTCAGGGAGGGCGCACTGTAGAAGTTCCGATTGGCGAGGTTGTCGCCCGATGGTGACCCACTAGTGCTGGCTGTGGAGCTTACCAGATTGTTACGCCGTGCGCTGCCGAATCTGGGTGAGGAGTCGGAGGCACAGTTGTTGGCGTCGTAGTTTATCGAGAGTGTGCCTGCCACCGTTTCCTAGCAGCTGAAACTAGTAAACGCAGCGCAACCTATGGATATCAGTGAACTGGCGAGGGTGACTCGTCAGCTGATGACACGAACAGTAGCTCCGGTCGGGTACGAAAAGCAGGAGATAAGTAGTGTCGAGAAGAAGATTGAGCAGCTGGTGCGTGAGATTGCAGTTATACAAGTAAATCATAAAAGGAACGATAAATGTTACGCTTGTAGAGGGACAGGACATTGGAAGATAAACTGTCCAACATGACGACGATATAGATATCTTAGACGTTATAACGTGTGTTCTTTCTACCCTAGGAATCTGGGGGTTGTTGCATTGTGTTCCCGATCTTCCTTTCCTGATCTTTCCCCATCTTCTGCTGCCAGACATTACGTTTTAAACTCGCCTCGTATACTACTTATATCAATATGAGTAGCGCGCACCACACTATCACAACAACTCCCGCACTATGTATTAAATATAGACACAGATGGGTTGGAATAAACAAGTGGTTTGTTTAGAAAATGAATCCGTGGTATGAAAGTTGTTGGGACCGCCATCTGCCGGTCAATTACGACTATGGTTGAGGTTCTACAGATAGTGCGACTTAGTGGTTTGAAACAATGCAACAAAAAGTTCAAAATAAAGGTCGATGGAGACCACGCTATAGTTGCCTATTACATTCTTCATAAGAACGATTTTTAGTGGAAGAACTTCCTCAATTAGAATGTTAAATGAATGATACTTTCAACCACATTTTGTTTTTGTTCACGTATACTTTCGCTTCGAGAGTGTTGCTTTCCTTTCATTAATGTATTACCTCTGCATTTGTATGGACCGTTCATTTGGTGTCCTTACGTATCAAATCTATGCTCATAATTAGATATATTATCTATAGCCAATTGGTACATAAAAATGTGTGGTTATTTAATATTTTGCTTCGGTTCAGGCGGCCAGGGAGTTTCCTGGCTCACACGTATATATATATATATATATATATATATATATATATATATAGTGCTCCTCTATGTTGTTTATGCGCTAAAGTGAATAAATAGATAACTGCGGATATAAATAAATCTTCCCATTAAGTTACTGACAAAGCAGTGAAATAACACTGCAACCAGTTGCAAAAACTCGTAAGAAGACAAATTCGTAGGACGGGATTATCGTAGCATACCAACTCATTATTCAAGTAATTAATTTCGACACCATACAGCCCAAATTATGTACAAGTCCAGAAAAAAACGAAGTCATCCAAATATACTTATCTGAGTATTTTGAAATAGAGAGTGACTACCTGATAATCGATACGTATATGTATCACATGAGTCTTCAGTGATTTTAAAAAAGCATATTATAGCTGTATATTACAAAAAGAACCCTTGCGCGAGAGATAAAACTATTCTCTGACTATCCTATGAGAAGGTTTAGTTACAGCGTTTGATAAAGTAAATTAATTAATTTACTTTGCAAACATGATAGATTTATAGGTCTATATAGATTTTGGGGTTTTGGTGCCGTTTCCCCAAAGTTAACTATAGCGGCTTCCCCAAAATTGGGAGCTCGGGATCATGTTCGCAAAGTTCGCTATTATTTTATCCAAAAAGCATGTGCTAACGTATGACAATGCGATCAAGAATAATTTTAAAAATCTTTTTATTTTGTTAGTTTACAACTAAATCGATTTTCAAAGGAATTAAGTTGTAAAAAAAATAAGTATAGAACCCCACCTCAAGTCACGCTGACACCAGTGACCTTGATATCAAAAGTTGGCTCATTAGGACATAGACGGATTCAAAAAAACATTTCACTTGATGAACTCTAAGTATTTCTGCTTCAGTTTGGAAAGAACAAGGATCTGAGTGGTCTGTGTTATTTCTGACGGTGGTGGTCTCTCAATTGTTCCGGCTTTTTTTAGGATGAAAGAAACGCGCGCGCTATCTAAAATGGACAGTGGTATTGTTTCTTGTTGAGTTAAATAACTGTTTTGGTCGTAAATTACTCGTCAAAACTACTCTTTACGCTTTAATTGAATCTACTACAGTTAAAATGATATTGTATTGAGCGTTTCGATTTCGCTTTTGTGTATTTATTGAATCGAAGCATACTTGGTCGACTTTTACTTGATTTATTTAGTTAAGGTTTTAGAATTCTTTTACATATCCTGCTTGTATCACCATTGTAGTTGATTGTCGAGATGGCCAAATCTGCTCATAAATGTGGACAACCATATTGCTTATTCCCCATGGAGGAAGGGATGCAATGTGACGAGTGTAATAAGTGGTTCCACAAGATGTGCACCCGATTAAGCCCCGTTGCATCTAAAAGGTGCTCGAAGCCAAACTCTCATTGGCTTTGTAGTTTTTGTTGCTCGAGCAAAATGTCACTCATCCAAGAAGCGATTAGACTCCTGGTGTTGGCTAATGAGAAGTTTGATGAGGGCTGTACTGGCAACATTGGTACTGATGGCGCAGATTGCTTTAGTGTAGTAAGAGCTGTCACGATGCAAGTCAGACATCTCACTGTGCAACCCGAAATTAAAATTTCTACCCTGAAACAATCAATTAGTGTCACCTCATTAGATATTGGTGGCCATGTTGCTACAGCAGCAACTGGTGATCCAGATAAAACAATTACTGTCCCGGGTAGTTCTAATGTAGGTGCTACGAATGATGGAATATGGATGACGCGGAAACGCGGAAGAGTAGGAAAGACAGCTAAAACTAATGACCGTTTACTTGATAAGTCCTTGATGGACTCTCAGACCACTCCGCCAAAGTCCCAAAGTAAAGCCTCTTCAAACATTGTTGTGAGTCGTTCGCTCGACTTCAATGTCTCTGTTACAATAAAAATTATTCGTAAGATACCGTTAGTTAATATACAGGATCTGAGGTCACGATCGATAGCTGTAAACATGATTCCGAAAGAAGCTGAACCACTCCCCGGTTTAATTATTTGGAACGTAGAGGAGTCAATAGACAATGACCCTGCTAAGAGACATGCACATGGTCTGAAGTTAGTGGAACTGTGGTAAGAAACGCACTACCTGAAGAGGTTTTAGGGGTACTGTAAACTGTGATAGATAAACGAACACACCAATGATAAGGTGAAACGCCCACCACCACATAAACTTTCTTTGACCTTGTATGACTGTACCTTGTCTATTCACCAATCATAATTTTATGTTCATTATAAAACAATATTCGCTTTGCTGAACTAGAAAAGTTACGCCGCCAGGAATGTGAAGGTTCTGGCCAATCAGTAAGCAACAGTGAGAATACAATATTAAAAAACCTGTATTTACCAAAAAGAGAAGTGTTAAGATCTGATGGTACACCGACAAATTATTGGAATTTCATTAGAAATTTCGAAGAATGCATTGGGAACAAGAATATTGGATTTAGAGCTAAGCTAAATTATTTGATTTAACATTGCGACGGAGAAGCGAAAGCCGCTATCCTTCATTGTACTATACTAGAACCAGAGATAGGTTATCGTCAAGCCCTAAAACTTTTACAGGAAGCGTTTGGCCAAAAACACGTCATAGTGCGCACGTTCATCGACAACTTGCTAAACTTTCCCATTATAAAAAGGAATCAACCAGATGGTTTGAGAAGACTGTCTCGAGAAATGCAAGCATGTGGTTTGACTCTCGAACAGATGAATTACGTTTCTGATTTGAACTCTTCTAGAACTATCGAAACTATGGTTCTGAAATTACCGACGAACATTCAATAAGAGTGGCTAAAAGTAGCTTATAAGATTATCAGAGGAGGTCGATAGCCTGTGTTTGTCGATCTTGTCGAGTTTGTAAGGGAACAAGCTGTTATAGCTAATACTAGATACGGCCTGCTTGTCAACCGCGGTAGTAATAGTGACGATAGAGATGTTGGTGTTTTAAAAGGGAGAATTAGCGGAGATTACAATGCAGCAAGGATATCTCACGCGAGTACTAGTGATGACAATGTTGCCTTACGTAGTTTGTCCTGTTTGGAGTGCTCAAGTAATCATTTTTTAGATCAATGGCAAAGGTTTA